AAGAAAGTATTTATACAGTTTACTTAAATGTTATATAACAACTTACTTGTTCAAAAAAAAAATCAAAGGATACAGATTTCCAAAGTTTGATGAGAGTAGTTTCATATGAGGTAAGGGTAAGAGGAAGAAAATTCACCTCTTGCATTGAAGGAGCATGGGAGCCTTTTGGGTCACTTTCACAAACAGAGAGCAGGGACTGCAAATTCAGCCTCAGGTACCCCTCACTCTGCATCCTCTCCACAATACATCTGCATAGGCTGGTGCCAGAGAAGACCTTATTTATTTGTAGTGTTGTCAGACTTAGACCAAATTTGAGATTACTAGAAAAGCAAAAAAAAGTAGGGATGTGCGTGAAAGAATGTTTTTTCTCCCATGTTAAAACCTAATTGTGCATAAGAAAACTGATCAAAATTTTAGTTTTTATTTAAATGCTTGTGTTTAAAGGGGATATGAAGTTTTGTTATTAACCAGTTTCTCATGTTGATTGGGGTAATGCCAACTGTTATCTGTGGAAAGACAAGGTTGCAAAGAAATGCTGCATTCATGCAGTTCATTTCCGTGGCACTTAGTATGTCTATATAGCTATTCTGTTAGTTGTTTATGGTTTTAGAATTGATAGGCCACTTAAGAATAAGGCAGAAAGTGTTCATAGACAAGCATGCAGGACTTTTCTGTGTTAAATGCATTTCTTTACATGTGTGCTGTATGTGTTTCTCAAATAAAAATTTTTCCCCAACATTGTGTGATTGTCTGCAGTGAACCGTTTTCATTTGACTGTTTAAGAAATACATTAAGTGTAACATGTAATTTTAAAGTTCTTTAAATCATTCCACGAATAATTACAGAGAATTCCATATGTACCAGACTTCAGAATGTGCTGAAGTAGGGCAGTGAAAAGTCAAAGGTTCTACCCATGTAAAGCTTATATTCTTAAACTGGAAACAGAACATAAGCAAATAAACAATAAATAAGTGAGATAATTTCAAGTGATGAGTATAATAAAGGGAACACATAGGGTGGGGTGTTGAAAGGGACTTTGATGAGGTTAGAGGGTAGTAGCAGAGAAGCCAGGAAAGACTTTTCTGAAGAGACAACGTTTTACCTAAGATTTAAAAGATGCTTTATCGCCCTGACCAGTGAGGCTCAGTTGTTTGTTCCACAAAGTTAAAGGTCGACAGTTTGCTTCCCAGTCAGGGCATATGCCTCAGTTGTGGGTTGTCTTGGTCAGGATGCATAGGAGAGGCAATGGATCAGTGTAACTCTCATGCATTGATGTTTCTCTCCCTCTCTTCCTCCTTCCCCTCTCTCTAAACATAAATAAAATCTTTTTTTGAAAAGATGATTTATCACTTAGAATTGCAGTCAGTTGCATGTAACAGAAACCTAATCACACTAGCTTAACCAAATAGGGATTGCTTTTTAACATAACAATGAAAACACCTGAAAATAGATGTAAGCAAAAATCTGTTAAAATTATGTATTAGGAAGATGAAGGGAGAAGGAAACATATGTGTGTGAAAGGAAATGTAAAGCATCTAAATCTTCATTTTCCAGGACAATATGTAAATATATCTAAAAATGATAAAATCATAATATAAGCATGTTATTTTAAAAGAGGATAGCAAATACTGTAAGAAGAAGCTACAGGAGTTCAAAGTGGTTGCCTCTTTAGAATGGGACTTGGGAGTGGGGAGGGAATGGAACAAGGAAGTGTTGCTTTTCATTATATGCCTTTTAGAAATATTTGAATTTTTAATGGGTATACATGAATTACTTTGATGCTCTTTAAATCTGAAACCTTTAAAACCGGATAATGATCAGAGCTTTATGGGGAGTGTTGAGCCTCTTACCCTACAGAAGCCTTTGCAACATGTGTGTGGCAAGAGCAAAGAACCCAAAATGTTAACGTCAGGAGCAATCCCAGTCATCACCCAGTTCACTTTACAGATAATGAACCTCAGTCTCAGAGGAGGGAAATGACCTTCTAAGGCCACTCCACTAGGAAGCAGCAAAGCAAGATCAAAGAACAAGAGCCCAGGGCTTCTGGTGTATAGTCCTTGGCTTCCACTCTAGCCATTGAAAGGAATCCTGAGTGTTGTTATGGAATATTCACCAGAATATACAGTAGGACAAAAGCTAGATACATGACAGAGAGTAAAACGTGCTATTATTTGTGCTCAAAATGGTGCAAGAGCATTATGTATATACATGGTGATAAAAACCTGGATATCACTAGAAATGTCGAAAGAAAACAGTAATAATGTTGTTTCTGGGAAGAACTGGAACAGAGGAGGGAAGGGGGCTCACTCGTCACATACAGTTTTTCACTGTTTGAATGTTTTACTATTTTCATGCGCGTTTTTTCTTTTTTTAAAAACAGTTTTAAATGAGTGGCTTTTCACTGCCTACAGTTAAGTGAGTTAGAAAATCTCTCCAGAGAATCTGGTCCCATGCTCATCTCTTGCCAAATCTGTCTTGTGCCTTATGCTGCTGGCACACTGCACTCTTTGCAGTTTCCTTACTCTGCTTGCTATGTAGTTCTGCCTTTTTTAACTTTCACACCTTTCCTGATTACTACTTCTGAGACTTGGAATGTTTTCCCTGTCTCCTTTTCACTCCAGGCATACACTAGCCTCCATACTCATTCCCAACATGCCTTCTCCTTAGGGCCTTTACATTGGCTGTTCCCTCTTCCTGGAACACTCAGCCATCAGATATCTGCATGCTCCCTCACTTCCCTTAGGCTTTTGCCCACCTCACCTTATAAGGCAATATCCACCCCCTGGCTTATTTCTCTTGGCATAATGCTCTCCAGTTCCATCCATGCTGTCAAAAAGGGTAGTATTCCATTGTGTAAATGTACCACAGTTTTTTAATCCAATCACTTACTGATGGGCACTTGGGTTGCTTCCAGCACTTGGCTATTGTAAATTGTGCTGCTATGAACATTGGGGTGCATGGGTTCTTTTGAATTGGTGTTTCAGGGTTCTTAGGGTATATTCCCAGCAGTGGAATTGCCAGGTCAAAAGGCAGTTCCATTTTTAGTGTTCTGAGGAAATCCCATACTGTTTTCCACAGTGACTAGACAAAGCCAAACAGGGCAAGTCTGAGGGCGGGAGGTGGGGATGGGTGGGGGGGGGCATGGTGGGTGGAAAATGGAGACAACTGTACTTGAAAAACAATTAAAAATATATAAAAATAAAATAAAAAACAATGTTCACCCAGTTTCATTCTCTTTTGTGTTTTTCTGTTTATTTTTTATACTACTTGTCACGGTGTGTCTTTGTTGTTGTTTCTTTATTGTATTTCTCTCTCCACATTAGAATATAACTTTATGAGAGCAGACTTTATTTAGGAATTAAGTAAGTATGTAATTGTGTCCACCTTGGCCTAAAGGAATTAATGAAGAAATCATCATAAACCTAAATTTTGCATTTTAGGGACTTACAATCTAAGACACACTGGACAAATTATATATATTCACATACATATTAATCTATGAAATAAATGAACATTAAAGTCCTTTTATCATATGAGGCAAATCCAAAAAAAAATTTTAAATATCTCTGAACAAGTATCTCCCAGTGAGTAGCATCTTAAAAGTAGAAATCACGAGAAACAACCTATTTACTACACTGATGATTATAGTCTGTGACCCATTTTCTTGAAAGGATTCTTAAATAAGCCCTGAAAATGTAAGTTATTGGGAAGCCAAATTATTGTCATAAAGTTGCTTAGTGAAAATGAATTGGAACCTGAGGAGATAGGTACTATTTAAATACCGTTACAAATGCCATGGAGCTTTTAGCCTGTGTCCATGTCCTCTCTACAGAACCTCTGCAACTGAGATAGGCCAGGGCCGCCTCTTCCTGGTTAAGGCTGGGCTAGGCTGGTCTCTGCCAACTTCTGCTTCTGAGTTTCCCTTGTCTTGCCATTGGTCCCTGTAGCCCTGCTCTTCTGTACATAAGCATTGTCTCATATCTGCAGCTGTTCTTCAAGTGTATGAAGATGTCATTGTCAAATTCATGTAACATAGATTTATCACTTTACAGCAGCTCTTTATCATGAGACTTTTGGGACAAAGGATACTAACTGAATGGGATAGTGTTCTGTGATTTATTTTTTAATATTGAAAGAGGTTGATTATATTCTTAGGAAAACGAGGATCACTGTCCTGGGCTGACTATCCACTTCTGTTGTGATATTCCACCAAACAGGTTTAAAATACAGTTGATTAAACGTCTGCTCATCATATTTCAGGTCCCATATTATCTTAATTGATGTTGGAGTGTTTCCATACTTTGGTAGTTTCTTGATTTAGGACCTCACATAGTTAATTACATCCACTATGAAATTGACAAACTAGGTTATTAAAGGTAATCGTAACTTTTTTCAAAGTTTTTGGGAATCGCTAAAGCAAAGGAAATAAAGAAGGGGGAGAGATTAATTAGGGTTCTAGAAGGAGGTTTAAAAATTTTTAAAGACAGCAAAATTTCACAAGAGAAAGTGCCTTAGTGGCTGTGGAAATGGCCAAAGCAAGAATGCAGGAACTGATAATCCCTGTAAGCAGCGCATAGTACGTACGGGACTGTTGTACTGTGAGATGAGGCATTCTGAATCCAACCTGTGAAGGGTTATAAACGCCAAGCTGAGGCATGGGACCTTAATTCTGTGGGCACCAGGGAGCCATCAAAGGTTCTCAGCAGGTGAGTGGCACGACCGGACTGGCCACCAGAATAATAATTAACATAATTTTTCCGGTGCTCCCTTCCGACTTCTGCCCACCCCTCAGGCAGGCTTCGCGGCGGGCGTCATTAGGGTTCCGACTACCCGAACCCCGGGGTCATGCTGGGCGAGCAGGGGATGCTGCCCGGGCCAGACCGGAGCAGGCAAGCCTTCGCCCGGCGTTACACCTGGGCCGGGCCGGGCGCCGATTGGATGCTCGGTGTGACCCCGCTGTATCGCGAGACGAGATTGGCAGCGGCAGGGCCGCATGTGCCCCCGCGCTGGCTTTGTACGCGGAGCCGCCTGCCGGTCCTTTAACAATGGGCGGCGCGAGCGCCCAGGCGCTGGGCCTGAGCTGAGGCCAGCGCTTCACGGGCGACTGTCTGCAGCATGAGCGGGGCCGGGATACCCCTCATGCTCGCGGGGCTGGGGCTGTGAGGGCCGCGGTTCTGGGTAAGGGAGGCCGCTGTGGGACCTGCAGGCCTGGGCTGGGCGGCCGGACACCAGACCCGCCCTGCCCGGCCTTTTGTTCGCCTTTCTGGGGCCGCGCGACACAGTGCGCTCCTCGGGTCGAGGAGGAGGCGGCCTGGTGCGGGCCAGGCCTCGGGGAGACTCCCAGGGTGGAGGGGTGGGGAGCGAGCGCCCGACCGTCTGCTGCGGTGACTCTGCCCTGGGCGGGCGTTCGTCTCCGGGTTTCTCTGCGGGAGGTTTTCCCGGCAGGGGGGCTGTGACTGGTGTCAAGTCTCTCTCCTCCTCAGGGCGGGCGGGAGAATTCGAACCCAGATCCCGGGGAGCTCAAGGCCGGTTCCCCCCTCCAGGCTTCCCGAGTGCGGTGGGAACTCGGGCCCCAGTTACTCGCATTTCCCCGGCACCCGGTCCGGCAGTTTTTTTGTTTTTTGTTTTTTTTATTCCAGAATAAGCCAGTTCCTCCTAACTGGGTAGCTCGGGTCCCCTCCGTGTAGCATCGGGGAACTGGTTTGTATCCTGCTGGTTTTAGGACCAGTCAGGTGAAAGTGAACGGTCCCTTCGAGTGGCCTGAGGTCACACCCCTCAGGGAGGGGGCGCGGACGGTCTTCAGGAGGGAGCTGGCAGTGACCGCGTCTGGGGTGTGTCTTACAGACTGAAGTTGCCTCGTCTGGCCAGGCGCGCCGCCGGGTCTCATGGAGCTGGAGGGGCAGTGGTGGCGGGGACAGCTGGCTGCAGATATTCATCAGGCCCTTCGGTACAAGGTAACCTTGATGCCCGTACCTTTCCACCGGGTATTTGGCGTCTCCCGCCAGTAGTATGAATCTCTGCTCTCTGAACAGTCAGGTTCCTCAACGACTAGTTTCCAAACCAGAAAAGGCGAGTTTGCTGATTTGCTCAAGGTTAATTGACTTCTTGGCTTCTTCCCTGGATGTCAGGAAAATCTGCAACTTAAATGGAGGGGGTGGGGGTGGGGGCATGGTAGTTGGAAAAGAGAAGGTGTGAAAAGACATTCTAATGTTGTTTCCAGGTGGAATAGGGATCTGATATTGTACTTAAAAAGCCAGTGGACATTTTATTGGGCAGAGCAGCCCTCGTTCTGTATTCGGTGTTGCATGCAGTTGTGTAATGTCACACTTGCACATAAATTCCCCAGCCTTTCCACTCACTTGCCGTGAGTCTTTGTACGAGTTACTTAATTTTGTTTCCTGATTTTTCTCATCCGTAAAATGAATAATATTAATAATAATAAAATGTGCCTATGGGATGATTGTGAAGATTAAACGAGTCGATACTGTACATGTGCTTAGAACTGTAATTGGCATACATTGTAGAAAGCACTAAAAAAATAACTCGTTATTCTCAACCCCCACACCCCAAGATTTGGGGCTGCCTCCTTAAGGTAAAAGGAGTTAGCTGCTTTTCCAGCTAATATCAAGAGCAGAAAGTAGACCTGGTATACTTAGTAGGTATTGGGGGAGAAGAATATGCTTTTCTGGCACAATGCATAGTGTTTTGTTGCTTTTACATAACAATATTACTCAGTATGTCACATCTTAGCATAATGAGTCAGTTCTGCTTCTTTGATAGAGAAGAGACCAGATCCAAAATTATCTCTAACTTGACTCAGTTTCACCATGGACAGAGAGAGCCACTTACTAGGTGTAGAAAATTAGAAAGAAGCAAAACAGCTGATACTTTAATAAAAAGGATGCTGATTGTTGCATTGAGAGATCCAGGGATGATAATGAGTTAAATCTTGATTTTTAAAAAATCAGGTTAAGTAGAATTAGAAAACCTAAGTTTGACTTAAATTGTTGCAGTTGTATCCTTTGTAAGGTTTGAGATTTCTAAATGCTACTTACTAATTCTGACATTCAGTCTCTTAGACACACTAAATAAACCTCAGTCTCCTAAAAGGTCTTTTATACCACAGAAGGTGTCGCCTATGGAATGGTTCTCTGGAGTGTTAAGAGAGCTGCAGGTTTTCTTCCACTTTGAAAATTGTCCCAGTACTGTTTTGGGTTTTGTTTTTTTTGTTTTTTTTTTTTTGCAGATAATGTCTTTCAGTTTTAAATGTTCTTTTCTAAGTGTTAGCTCTTTGTCTCTCTGGTATGTGGTGAAATTAATTACATATTTTTTAAATAACATCAAACTTAAAAGATTTTTCTTGTTGATTTCCATGTTTTCCCCCATCATTTTTGATTCTTATGTTTTATGTATAATTTTAATCCTGAGTGATTACCTGCATTCATTTTGTCAGTTGACATTGGAAGTGGATATTTTTCCCCAGTAGATTTGTTGAATGCTTTTGTGTATTAGGCTCTGGAGAGGATCCAAGGAATAAGACACAACTCTTGTTACTAAAGTTGCTTAGAACTATCAAAAGACAAGATAGTGGAGCATCTGAAGGAATGCCATTGGAAGTTATCTTGGGCCACCTGTGGTATGCTGTCCTGGGTTGTCTTTATTTTTATCTTTAAGCATTTGTAAGCCAAATGTCATGGTTTCACACAGTGGCCACACTTTATAAAGAATTTACATTAATTAGTAAAAGTTGAACCTGTGGAACTGGAGAGACCACTGTTTGTAATACATTGAATCAAGGAAAGTTAAAATGAACTTTTCTTATTAAAAAAATAGATGTTAATTCCAGACTGTTAATTAAGTGACTTAGTTGGATAATCATATGCTTATTTATTTATTCACAGTATTTGAGTACCTGCAGTGTACAAGGTGCTATGCCAGGTGTTAGAATGGTAACAGTGAATGAAATGACATGATGCTTGCCTTTTTGGAGTCTCATATAATTCAGAGTATCTGAATTTAGGTCTTCCTTTGGGCAGTTGCCATTTGAACAGTATGGAAGGTGTTCTGTGCTTATACCAAATGTTTGTGGAGGAGTAATTGGTGTAACTAATATTATGTCTACTAGGGAAGAGTAAAAATTACCACAAATGGAAATTTTCAACCCCATATGCCCACTATACTGTTTTTGTAAAATAAAATTAATTGCCTTCCCTTATGTATCCCCCTCACCAAAAAAAAAAAACCTACAAAGCAGCTGTCTTCTTACACTATGTCATCTTTTTCTTCTCATTGTTGTGCTCTGCATACTAGTGTCTTAGAGTACTTGGGGTAGTATTTTTAGGGCCCTTTATGATAGATGGAAGCAATGCTAGTAAGAAACTTTGAGAAAATCTCACAGAGTTGTACTTACACTTGTGAGTATTCCTTCTAGGTCTTTCTTTCCATCCTGACTAGACAGCTAACCCTTTCTGGGAAGGGGATGGTGCTTGGCATGTTGAGCTGAGGAGGATTGGAGAGCGGAGGTGGAGATGATAGGTCTCTTTGCCATGGTCCTATGGGATCCTGAGGAGCAGACGGGAACGAGAGTGTTCAGTTCTAGGGTATCAGTGATAGACAGAAAAAACATGTAAGCTGAGAAAAGCATAGGTCATTTTGTCATGCTTGCGTAACTATAGAGCCTGGGGAAGAAGTAGATCTGATAGCCATCTGGTAAGCACTTGTACTTTATGATTTAAAATCATAAAAAGAAAATGTATTGGGCACATTGTTTAAAATTTCCAACTGATGGCCCTTGGGGTTCTTGCCTTTGTTTTGTCTTCAATTAATAAAGTTACTATAGTTAAAAATAAAGTCCATCAGTGTTTTCCAGCTGTTTCCCAGTGAGTCTTTAAGACCTTGTTCAGGCCTCTTTTGCATTAAGCCCACTCTGGCTTTGTTTTTTCCCAACAACCCAACCCTGAACTGCTGGGGACCTCCCTGCTCAGTGTCCTATACTACCTTGTAAGTACTGTATTATGTTCTGGTAATCTTTGTATTTTCGTTCACCTGCTAGAGAGAGGCTTGAGATTGTTTTCCAGCTCTTATCTTAGCACAGTGTCTGCTACATAGATAATGCTCAAGAAATGTCATGTGAGGACAGGAAAGAAAGGTGAAATTTGAGATTGTAGCACATTTATACCATTGTAAAGGTCTACAGAAATGATAAAGAAGAAAAGAAAAGCCCTAGGGACTGCCTAAGAAATTGAGATGCTCCCTTTATTTGGAGAAATTAAATTTTTTATCTTCAAAGAGCCAAGCCAGCCTAAACCAATGTATTTTTTTCCTCAGTAGCATTTGTTTTGCTTTTCTCACTTAACATGAAAATTAAAAACATAAAATGTTATTAATAGTTTTTTAAATTTTAAATGATAAATGCATATGGTTAAAATTTGGATGGTATAAGAAGGATTAAAATGAGCTTTCCCCAACCTCACTATAAGGTTACCACTATTATTGTTTTTTGTTTCTTGTAAAGACAGTAAATTAATGTACCTGCAAATAAATTATTTTTGTTGTTGATGTAAGAGGTCAAATATATATTCTATACCTTCCTTCCACACCAGGCTCACTCAATTTATCAAATTTTTCCATATCAACACATACAGGTCTGCTGTCCTTTAATGTTTGCAATGAATCAGTGTCCCATAGTTTATTTAATCGGTTCCCTGTTAATGGACATCAAGCTTTTATCTAATTACAGTTAAAAAAATTTTTTTATTGATTGATTTTAGAGGGGGAGGAAAGAGACATCTGTTTGTTGTTTTACTTATGTAGGCATTCCATTGGTTGATTCTTGTTTGTGCCCTGACCAGAGATGGAACTCACAACCTTGGAGCATTGAGACAATGCTCTAACCAATTTAGCTACCTGGTTTACTATGAGACAATTGTAGATTCGCATGCAACTGTAAGAAATAGTACAGGAGATCCCCTGTACCCTTTTCCCAGTTCTTCCAGTGGTAACATCTTGTAAAAGTATACTGCAGTTATCACAATCAAGATATTGATGTTTATATACTCAGGATACAGAATGTTTTCTGTCACCACAGTGATCTCTTTCTTGTGTTATGCCTTTATAGCCACACCCTTTTCTCTGCCACCCTCATTCCCCCCTCCTGTTAACCCCTGGCAACCACTAATCTGTTCTTCATTTCTGTAATTTTGTCATCTCAAGAATGTTAGTTATATAAATGGAATTATACAGTATGTGTCCTTTTGAAATTGTCTGTATTCACTCAGCATAATTCTCTGGAGATCCATCCAAATTGTTGGACATAAAGCTTTTTATTCCATTATCATGCTATTGAAAATGGGTCTGCAAAGGACCTGATATTTAGGGTAAATTCCTAAGCCTAGTGTTGCCACATTAAAGGGTATCTGCAATCTGCATTTTAAAAAATTTATTATTACCTACTTGTCCTTCAGAAGGTTATATTGTGAACCTGACCAATAATATCTGGGAGTTCCTATTTTCACTCTTGATATCATAAACAAAAATTAATAAAATATAATGTGGTAAGTGAAAAACTATGATTTTTTAATTTTGAATGTGATGAGGTATATTTTTATATGTTGTTGGTCCTATTTTTTTCTACAAACTGTTCATATTTGTTGCCTTTTTCCTATTGATTTATGAGTTCTCTGTATAGTGATTAACTCTTATCCTATGTGTCAGAAATATTTAATTTAAATTCATCTGTTCTTCCCTAATTTGAAATGTCATTGTTATCAAATAAGTTCTTCTATTCAAGAAAAAGGAATGTCTTTCCATGTATGCAGGTCTTCCATACTCCTGCAGAATTTTAGTATCATGTTCATATAGTGCTGGCATGTATAGGTTTATTCCTAGGTACTTTAATTTTTATAGTTACTGTATATGGAATATTCTATTTTCTAACCAGCTTTTAGTATACAGAAAAGTTGTTGATTTTTTAATATTAATTTTGTAAATAGCCATCATACTGATTTCTACATGTCTTACTATTAATAGTAAACAATCTTACTATTTCTACACTTTTTTTTCTGTTTTTTCTTGTTTCTTTCTGGATATAAATGCTATCATTTGAAAAATAATAACTTTGTTTCTGAGAGTGTCTTTGATTCTTCCTTTCCAATAATTAAACCTTTCCTTTTCTGTTTGGATTGGTTAGTATTCACAGAATAATGTTAAATAATAATATGCAGTAGTCAGTATTAGAATGCTAATCATTTTATTGTTTCACATACAAGTGAGATGCTGGCTTTTATATTTGAGATCTTTTTCTCTCCCTTCATTAAACAAATATGGATCTGTTATTTCTCTCAGGGTCACCTTTGTGCAGATGCTATTTTGACATCTATCAAAGTGATTGTGCATATTTATGTGTGAAGTATTATTTTGATTTATATTAATATATTTTCTAATATCAAACCATCCTTGCATTCCTGGGATGTACTACAATTGAAACTCTTTGGATATATTACTAAATTATATTGGATAATATAGTTTTAATTTATTTCCTGTTTTTTAAATCTATTAGGGTGACATTTGTTAATAAGATTACATAGGTTTCAAGTGTACAGTTCTGTGATACACCATCTGTGTATTGCATTGTGTGCCCACCACCCAAAGTCAGATCTTCTATCACTATATATTAGACAAAAATATTGAATGCTTCACAAATCAGCATGTCATCCTTGCACAGGGGCCCTGCTAATCTTCCCTGTATTGTTCCAAATTTAGTAAGCACACATTGGATACTATTTTATCTAAAATTTTATACCTTATTAAGTAAGGTTGCTATGTAACTTCCATTTCTTGTGTTTGTTTATTGAAAAATGTGTATGAAATAAAATTTACCACTTAAATCATTTTTAAGTGTACAATTTAGTGACATGAGATACAAATTCACATAGCTACCATAACCACTGTCCATCTTCAGAACTTTCTCTTCTTCCTAAACTGAAACTTCATACTCATTAAACAATAACTCCCTATTTTCCCTGCCCTGCAGTGCCTAGGAACCACAGTTCTACTCTCTGCCTCTATGACTTTGACCATTCTAGGTGCCACATACAAGTGGAATCATACAATATTTGTCTTTCTGTGTCTGGCTGATTTCACTTAGTATACTGTCTTATGGTTTGTCTGTGCTGTAGCATATATTACAATTTCATTTCTTTTTAAGGCTGAATAACAATCCATTGTATGTATATACCACATTTTGTTCATTCATTTGTTGACAGACACTTTGGTTGTCTGTTTCCACCTTTTGGCTATTGTGAATAATGCTACTATGAATATGGATATACGGCTATCTGTTTGAGTCCCTACATTTAATTCTTCGGGACATATGGCTAAAAATGAAATTGCTGGGTCATATGGTATTTCTACATTAATTTTGGGAAGAATTATAATACTGTTGTTCACAGTGGCATCACAGTCTTATATCCACTAGTACACACGGGTTCCAATTTTTCCACATATTTGTCAGCATTTATTTACTGTTCACTCTGTTTTTTTGTTTTTGTTTTTTTTTTTTATGAGAGCAGTTCTGATGGGTATGAAGCAGTATCTCAGTGGTTTTTATTTGCATTTTTCTAATGAGTAGTGACATTGAGTTTCTTTACATGGGTCTATTGACCATTTTCTTTGGAGAAATGTTTATTTTAGTCCTTTGCATACTTTTTAAATGAGTTGGCTGTTTTTTGTTGAATTGTATATATAAAAAAATAATTTCTTTTTTTAATATTTTTTGTTTATGCAATTACAGTTGTCCCAATTTGTCACCCTTTGCCTCCCTCCACCCAGGCTGCCCCCACTCCCAGTCAGTCCCCACACCATTGTCCATGTCCATGGGTCATACATACCTATACGCTCTTTGACTAATCCCATTACTTCAACCAGTCCCCACTTCTCCCACCTCTCCTACAGCTGTTAGTCTGTTCCCTGTATCCATGCCTCCGATTCTATGTTTGTTTATTACTTTATCTTGTTTATTAGATTCCGCTTATAAGTGAGATCATAGGATACTTGTCTTTCACTGACTGGCTTATTTCACTTAGCATAATAGTTTCCAGTTCCATGTCACAAAAGGTAAGAATTCCTTCTCTTTTTTACTGCCACATAGTGTTCCATTGTATAAATGTATCACAGCTTTTTTTGCCCACTTATCTACTGATGGGCACTTAGGCTGTTTCCAAATCTTGGCTATTATATATAAATAATGCTGCTATGAACATAGGGATGCATAAATTCTTTTGAATTAGTATTTCAGAATTGTTAGGCTATATTCCCAGAAGTGGAATTGCTGGGTTAAACAGCAGTTCCATTTTTAATTTTTACTGTTTTCCACAGTGGCTGCAACTAGTCTGCATTCCCACTAACACTTCACTAGGGTTCCCTTTTCTCCACATCCTCGCCAGGACTTCTTGTTTGTTGATTTATTAATGATAGCCATTTTGGCAGGTATGAGGTGATAGTTCATTGTGGTTTTAATTTGCAATTCTCTGATGACTAGTGAACTTGAGCATTTTTTCATATGTCTATGGGCCATCTGTAGGTCCTCCTTGGAGAAGTGTCTGTTCATGTCCTTTGTCCATTTTTTAATTGGGTTTTTTGTCTTCCTGATGTTGAGTCATATAAGTTCTTTATATATTTCAGAGATTAAACCCTTGTCCTGTGTATTGTTGACAAATATGTTTTCCAATACAGTGGGTTCCCTTTTCATTTCAATTATACTTACTTTAACAGTGCAGAAGCTTTTTAATTTGATATAGTCCCATTTGTTTACTTTTTCCTTTGTTTCCCTTGCCCTAGGAGATGTATTGGCAAACGTATTTCTATGTGAGATACCTGAAATTTTACTGCCAAGTCTTCCTTTAGGATTGTTATGGTATCATGATTTTAAGTCTTTTCTCAATTTTGAGCTTATTCTTGTGTATGGATGGTGTAAGTTGGTGGTCTAGTTTCATTGTTTGTGCATGTACCAGTCCAGTTCTTTCAACACCATTTATTGAAGAAACTGTCTTTACTCCAAGGTTTGCTCTTGCATCCTTTGTCAAATATTAATTGACTATTAAAGATATGGGTTTATTTCTGGGCTCTCTATTCTGTTCCATTGATCTATGTGTCTGTTCTTATGCCAGTACCAGGCTGTTTGATTTCAGTGGCCTTACAGTGTAGTTTGATATCAGGTATTGTGATCCCTCCAACTTTGTTCTTTTTTCTCAGGATTGCTGAGGCTATTTGGGTCATTTTTGGTTCCACATACATTTTTGGAATATTTGTTCTAGATCTGTGAAATATGCCCTTAGTATTTTAATACGAATTGCATTGAATCTATAGGTTGCTTTGGGTAGAATGGACATTTTAATGATCTCAGTTCTTCTAATCTGTTAACATGGTATATGCTCCCACTTATTTGTATCTTTCTCAGTTTCTGTCTTCAGTGTCTTACAGTTTCCTGAGTATGAGTCTTTTACTTCCATGGTTAAATTTATTCCTAGGTACCTTATTTGTTGTTGTTGTTGTTGTTGTTGTTGTTGTTGTATTAGTAAATGGGAATGTTTTCTTAATTTCTCTTTCTGATAGTTTGTTATTGGTATATAAAAATGCCATCAATTTCCAAGTATTGATTTTGTATCCTTCTACTTCGCTGAATTCATATATTAGGTCTAGTAGTTTTTTGGTGGAGTTTACAGAGTTTTCTAAGTATAATATCATGTTATTTGCGAATAAGGACAGTTTTACATCCTTTCAAATTTGGATGCCTTTTATTTTTCCTTCTTGTCTGATTGTTATGGCTAGGACTTCCAGTACTATGTTGAATAAGGATGGTGAAAGCGGACATCCCTGTCTTGTTCCTGATCTTAAGAGGAACACTATTAGTTTTTGCCCATTGAGTAGGATGCTAGTTGTGGTTTTTAGTATGTGGGCTTTATTATGTTGCAGTATGATCCCTCTATTCCCACATTGCTGAGTGTTTTTTATCATAAATGTATGCTGGATTTTAATGAATTTTTTTCTGTATCTGTTGACATGATCATGTGATTTTTATTTTGTTTATGTGATGTATCACACTTACTGATTTGCGAATGTGGTACCAACCCTGCATCCCTGGAATAAATTGCACTTGATCATGGTGTATGATCTTTTTAATGTATTGCTGGATCACTTTTGTTAATATTTTGTTGAGAATTTTATCATCTATGTTAATCAGAGATGTTGGCGTGTAATTTTCTTTCTTTGTTGTGTCTTTACCTGGTTTTGGAATTAGGGTAATATTGCCTTGTAAAAACAGCTGGCAGGTCTTCTCTCCTCTTGAATTTTTTGGAATAGTTTGGGAAGGATAAGTGTTCTTTGAACGATTGGTAAAATTTGTCTGTGAAGCTATCTGGTCCAGGACTTTTGTTTGCTGGAAGTTTTTTTTTATTACTGCTTCAATTTCATTAGTTGCCATTGATCGATTCAGGTTTTCTGATTCTTCCTGATTCAGTTTTGAAATATTGTATGTTCTAGAAATTTATCCATTTAGCTCAGGTTGTCCAGTTTCTTGGCATATAGTTGTTCATAGTATTTTCTTAAAATCCTTTATATTTTTTTGGTATTAGTTGTTACTTCTGTTCACTTCTGATTTTATTTACTTGGGTCCTCTCTTTTTTTTTCTTGATGAGTCTGATTTTGTTGATCTTTTCGAAGAACCAGTTCCTGGATTCATTGGATCTTTTGAATTTTTTTTTCACTGCTATGTCAGCTACTTCTGCTCTGATCTTGATTATTCCTTTCTTATACTCGCTTTGAACTTTGTTTGTTGTTTTTCTAGTTATTTTAGGTCCAGTGTTGATTGTTTATTTGAGATTTTTCAGTCTTCATTTATTTTTTATTTTTTTAAGATTTTATTTATTTATTTTTATAGAGAGGGGAAGGGAAGAAGAAAGAGAGGGAGAGAACCATCAATGTGGGGTTGCCTCTCAAGTGCCCCGCAATGGGGACCTGCCCTGTAACCTAGGCATGTGCCCTGACTGGGAATCAAACTGGCAACTCTTTGGTTTGCAGTCCGGCGCTCAATCCACTGAGCCATGCCAGCCAGGGCTCAGTCTTCTTTAAACAGGCCTGTAATGTTATGAACTTCCCTCTTAGGACTACTTTCACTGTGTCCCATAAGTTTGGGGTTGTTGTATGTTTCATTTTCATTTGTTTCTAAGCTCTTTTTAATTTCTTCCTTGATCTTACTGATATCCCATTCATTATTTAATCTTAGTACATTCTATTTAGCCTCTAGCTATTTGAGTGTTTTGAGGTTTTTTTATTGAGATTGATTTCTAGTTTCACGCCATAGTGATCCAAGAAAATGCTTAATATGATTTCAAGTTTCTTGAATTTGTTAAGATTTATTTTGTATCCTACCATGTGGTGAATCTTTGAGAATGATTGATGTGTGCTTAAAAAGAATGTGTTTTCTGCTGCTTTGGGGTGAAATGTTCTATAAATATTAATTAAATCCATTTGATCTAGTGTGTCATTTAAGGTCACTATTTCCTTGTTGATATTTTGTTTGGAAGTTCTATCCATTGGTGGCAGTGGAGTGTTAAAATCCCCTACAATATCTGTATTACTGTGGACCTCTTCCTTAAAGTCCACCAAGGTTTTCTTTATATATGAAGGTGCTCCTATATTGGGTGCACATATGTTTACAAGGGCTATATCTTCCTGTTGGATTGATCCCTTTATGTAGTGACTTTCTTTGTCTCTTGTTATGGCCT